TTTTATTTGTTACCAAAGGGTGTATGTGTGTAGGTGTGTGTGTGCATGAACACATGCATATATCCCACGGTTATGAGTTGTTCTTAGATGCCATCAAGTTGGCTCCAGTTCACAGTTGTAACAATGGGTTCAAGTGTGTCAGAGATGGTGAGATTGGCTCAGGATAGGGCATGGTTCAGAGCTGTAGTTTGTAGGGTTGACTCAATGGCACATAACAACAAAAATGATACATAAAATAGAGAGAGACACTTCCCAGTCCTGTGCCTATCTCTCAACCGTTGATACGTTTCAGTCCATTGTTGCAGTCACTCTTTAAATCTATCTTGTTGCGGGCCTTTTTGCTAACCTTCTCTACAAAGCATAATGCCCTTCTTTAGAGCCTTGTCCCAACTTATAACATGTTCAAAAATATGTGAGATAGAGTCTCACCATCCTGACTTCTAAGGAACTTTCTAACTGCCCGTCTTCTGTAAAAGTTGCATTTGTTCTTTGATAACCCATGTTATAGCCAGTATTCTTTGCTAACACTGTAATTCAAAGGCGTTGCTTGTTCCCTTGGTTTGCCTTATTCATTGTACAGTTTTTGCATAGATTTAATGGCTTAGGATGTGTGTGTATGCACGTGTGTGTGTGTGTGTGTGTGTGTAGCTGTCAACTTGATTTTGATTCATAGTGACCTTATAGGGCAAAGGAGAACATCCTCATAGTTTTAACAAGGCTACACATTTTATAATTTTTTTTAACAGAAACAAGCTGCCACATCTTTTTCTTGTGGATTCAGTATGCCAACCTTTCAGTTGTTGTTGTTGTTGTTAAGTGCCATCGAGTCGTAAGCAACTCATAGCGACCCTATGAATGCAAGTCCTCAAAACTTGTGTGAATTTCATCCTTTCTCCAGGTTCACAGGGTTTCCAGAGGCAAACTATTATGAAAATGGATGCCACTCCTGCTTCCAAGCTTGTTTTAATTGGGGAGCTCCACCAAACACTGTCCACCATGGGTAACCATTATCACATTTGACACATCAGTGTCACAGTGTTCAGCTTCACAGCGACCACAAATTATCACTGTATGGCAAGTGGACACACCTTTCAGTTAGCAAATTAACACTTTAATCACTACTAAGGCTTGTTATAGCCTGGTAGCACAAGTGGCATCCACTTCTGAAATGGCTTGCCTCTGGAAACTCTATGAACAGTGCTCAGGCCTTTCGTTCATAGGGTCACTATGAGTCATCTACGACTCGATGGCACCTAACAACAAGGCTTATTATAGAAATGAATGAAATATATAAATGAAATATACAATAAATATACGTGTTGTTATTATGTGCAATTGAGTTGGGGCTGACTCATAGCTTATCCTCCCGCAAGTTTTCAGAGGCTGTCAATCACATAGGAGAAGAGTGCCCATCTTTCTCATCTTGAGCCTCTTGGGGATTCAAACCACATGCCTTTGGGTTGGCAATACAACACCTTACTACTAGTCGATCACCAGAGTTCCCTAATAATATGCATCATATGTAAAGTGCACCCAAAGTATAATGTTACATATATAATTTAAAAGTATATATTTACATTCATTTAAAAGATGATGGTTTTCTATTTTCTGTTATGGAGAAAGGTTAGTTTAATTCCAATACATTCCAAATACCGTTTTCTCCCTCTGGTTTAGTTGTGAATTGCAATTGCCTTTATTCTAGTTGGTGGCAAGGCCAGAGGTACATTTATTCAGTACCTCCCTAGTCTGTTGTCTTACTGCGATTCAGAAAGTTAGGAAAACAGGATCTAATAAGATAGAACAAGAACATTTATTTTGTGTAACAAATAAGTATGGCTGAGATTGAGGGATTTTCCCCAGAAGTTACTCTTCTACGGATTATCTGCTTTGGTTATAAATAAGACCACTCACGTTCCTTTGCCCACAGCCTTCCTTCTCTCTCCTCAGCGCAGTGACCCCTGCCTCTCTCCCTTTCCCCAGCTCTACATCCCCTTCGCCTGCACACTTAAAGTCTAGAAATCTATGTGCTAATTAGTACACTTATGATTTGCAACCTGTCCAACGATGCCAGGAAGTGAAACGCAACCTTTTAAAATTCAGTAGCAAGCATCTAATGTGAATCAAAACAGAGAGATGTGTTCTGCTAATTTGGAGGAGGGGGAGGTTGGGATTTGTATATTCAAAGTTTAATGATGACAGGTCACATTCGAGGGGGGACAGTCTGTGTGTTTTTCAGATATATATATATTTAAAAAAGTCAGAAACTCAGTATGCCAAGCAGAGAGAGGAGAGATTGTTTTTCCGGAGCGAGCTGTGAAACTGGAAGCCCAAGAGAATCAAGAAACCTGTTTTCAATCAGACACAAAGATTAGTTCTTCTTTTCAGATCCAGCAATGAGTCTTTTTAAAAGGGTTTAGGGCACCAGTGAATACGTGGTTGCCAATTATTAGCCTAGATAGACTGTTAGTTTTGGGATGGTTTTTTCGTTGGTAAAGGAAGAAAGAAAATGTGTGGGTTTTTGTTTTTGGAGCTGCTGGGTGAATTTTGTCTTTTTGGCATGCTCACTGCCCAGCCATGCCCAGCTAGCATTCCATTCGACTCTTCAGAGTTTGGACTGTAGTTTTACTCAACACATGGATATAAATAAGGGGAAGTTCTTTGCTTGCTCTGGCTTCATGTAGGGAGAATAACAGACTTGTGTGGCTAGTAAGGACTAAAAAGGGTTAATACTCAAAGGAGAGTGGCATCTCACAAATCAGAATCTTTGACTTGAAAACTTCAGTGACTTAAATTTCTGGGCTGACACAAAGAATCTTATTAGTCTGGATGTTTCTTAATGAAAATATTCCTCCAGTGATTGCTTGAACAATGTTACTCACTAGAAAGAAATGTTGAGAAATATTTTCAGTGTAAAATATGACGGCTTCTAAGCCGTCAACCTACTATTAACGAAGAGGTAGCCTAACTTTCCTAAGGCTGTCTCTTTATTCTGGGTAAGCTTAACTGTCTGAACTTTAATTTTCTCATCTGAGCAATGGGAATAATGAAATCCATCTCACAGGATTGTGAGGAAGAGTAAATAAACTATCTTGTATAACAGAGGTAAGCCAGAGTGGATTCTTTATTGGACTTTGAGATATCTTTATCCATAGTTTAATTTTTTTTAAAAAAAATGAACCAAGTCTTAAAAGACTTTTATCCTCAATTTATAATTCAATTCCTGGTCCACAGAAGTTGTTGTTGTTCTGAATTGTTGAGTCAGAACCAACTGATAGCAGAACCGCCAGTGGGTTTTCAGAGGCAGTAAATTGTATAGAAGAATGCCCATTTTTTCTCCAGTGGAGCAGCTGGTGAATGTGAACTGTGTACCTTTGGAATGGCAGGGTAATACCTCATCACTTAGTTATCAAAGCTCCCTGATCCGCAGAAGAGGTTAAGGAAATTTTTTTATCATTTTCCTTAAAGGTTGTACAATTCTGCAGGCTCTGTGCTTAGATCTGACCCTCCTCCCAACAGAGTCTGGGTGTTTGGCATGTCTCACTCAGGTTTGTGTTTTCTTATTTTGTTATAATGTCTGATGGGCTTCCAGCTCTGTTCTTAAGAGACTTTGTTTTGGTTCTATTTGTTTTTTTCTACCAAGTCAGCAATCAGCCTCTGGGCTATTCTTGATTTTGCCTTCACCACATTTGTTCTAAAAGTCAAATAATGGCCAGTAATCATTGTCCTATTAAATCAAAACCAGCACATAATGACCATGTGTGCTGGTTGTGGTTTAATAGGGCAATAGCTATTGACTACTCTGCCAATATGATTGACATTGATGTAAGAATGGCAGAAAACAGAAGGGTTTCCACCAATCACGTTATCTCCATTTTTAAGGAAAGCCTTCTACAGGTCCTCATTTCATCTTACTTAGGATTCTGCCTTCTTCCTACCTTAGTTCCATTGGTGAAGGTCTAAGTCAAGGTATCATTTGGACTGACGGAACATTCCCCTCCCATGTTTTTCCCTCTTTCTCCTCTAATACACAAACACGTACACATACCCACACATGTAGTACTGACCTCTGCTAATTATGGCATAGTTTCAGCCTGTTGGAATAAAAAAAAAATGCCAGCCAGGTGAGTCATATTCTGATTTATTAAATAAACATTTTCCAAGTGAAAGAAAGAGGAAGGGAAGAAAAAAAAAAAGAAACTCTTGCCTCTGGAGTCCGACATACTGGACTCCAGTTCTCAACTGAACTGGCAGCTGTGAGATTACCTGGGGATTTTATAAAGAAACTGGCTCCCGGACATACCCTGGGGGTTCACAGCCAAAATCTTCTTGGTGATGTTTGAGTTTGGCAAAGTTTGAGAAACAACTGATTTTTCCCCCAAAGCCTTTAGTTTTGTGGCATGGAACATTAAAGACCAGGAAAATGTGATTTGTCTAAGAATTTTTAGGGGATAAGTGGAATGGCTGAGTAGGAGAGGGAGGAACAGAATATTAAGTGAATGTGACAGTTCGGTGGGTGCTGTATTCAGTGTTCTGCACACTTCATCTCATTTAATTCTTTACCAAGAAGAGACATATTCACCTATCTATTTAAACATGTAAGTTCAGAGAGGCCAAGTAATTTTTTTTTATTCTGATGTTTTAATAAAAAATGGGGGTTCAGGGAGGAGGGTTCTGGAAGCCGGGGGAATGGGCAGCCTGATGTCCTGCCAGCTCCCAGAGCTCTACTCATCAACTTCCAGAACGGTGTACTTGCTGGAAGTCACTCCAGGGTTCCACCTGCACCTGAGAGCTTGGCTCCATTTCTGTGGTCTGAGGGTCTCCTATGTCCAGCCAGTTCCAGGGTCTGCTGGCCCAGGTACTGATGACAATAAGATGGGCATGCCTGCTTGTGCCCCCCCTGGGAGATACGGGGACACTTGCCAGACAGAACTAGGAACAGGAGTATCCATGGGGCATGGCGTTCAGAATGAAGAAGCCCCTACAGCTACAAAGGGGGACAGCTACCAGGAGCTGAAGTCCCCAAAGCCTCGGCTGGGCCTCTTCTTGGTTGAGGAGGTAGCTGTGCTGGTGGATGGCTCATCTTCTGAGGCCCGCTTCGGGATTGCTCGGCTAATGTACTTGCCCACCCCCTGGCGGTATGCTTGAGGTCCTGGGCTCCTTTGTTGAGATTGGCTCATCTTCCCATCGGTTTCCAGGGCTGCCTCCTTTTGCTGTGTCTTCTTCCGTTCCTCAGCAATCTGAGCATCCGCTTCTTTGTAGGGGTCCACAAACACCACAGTGGACTGTATGCAGATCTCTTCCTTAGGGCGGTCAGTTTTGGGGTCACTCTCCACATTCTCCATGGCTGTTAGTGTATCAAAGCCCCCAACGACCCGCCCAAAGATGGTGTGCTTCTTGTCAAGGTAGGCACAGGATCGGAAGGTGATGAAGAACTGAGACTTATTGCTATTGGGCCCCGAGTTGGCCATGCTGAGGATCCCCCGGCCTGAGTGTGAGAGGCTGGGGCGGAATTCATCCCGAAAAGGCTTCCCCCAGCATGACACTCCACCTGTGCCAGTCCCAGTGGGGTCACCTCCTTGGATCACAAAGTTCCGGATGGACCTGTGGAAGGTGGTACCATCGTAGTAGTTCTTCTTGCACAGGCGGATGAAGTTCTCACAGGTCTTTGGAGTCAGGTCACAGTGCAGCTCCAGGTTCAGGCAGCCCTTGTTGGTGTGCAGCCGCACATAACCTTTCTTCTTCACAAACTGGTACCTCAGGACATCCTCATCGATGGCAGCTGCTTCATGGGTCGTCTCTGGGACCATGGCAGTAGAGGTGAAGGATGCACTGACTTTCCCAGTGGAGTAATGGGCAGCATTCAGCTTGTCCACCTTCTTCTTCTCAGGGGCCTTCATGGTGGCAGCCAGAACTTCATCCCCTTTGAACTCCTTGTAGAGCTCACGCAGAGTCTCCCGGGTCTCAGTGTTTGTGTTTTTCAGATAGTAAGACGGATCTTGTTTGGCCTTTTCTTCATCTGGGTCTGTCACCTTCATATTGTTCTTCACGTGATAGAAGTTGGAGACATTAAATTTATCCAGATTGGTGGGATCCTGAAGGGTGATGATGTCCTGCCGGGAGAACGGCACATCTGTCAGCAAGTCGCGGAAGTTCTTTGCCTTGATGTTCAGCTGTTCCACTGCCTCAAAGGCATACACATTGCCAGTTGTCCTGATGGCTACAATGTGGCTATTGTTGGTGAACACCGTGAACAGCACTGGACAGTGGTATTCACCTTCATTGTTCTTTGCAAATTTTAGCTCAATCAGGGACTTTCTGTCTAGTTTCTCTCCGTTGCTGGGATTGGTTCCGTACTTCTTAAGCCAAGGAAGGATGCTCAGTAAGTCAAAGACGACACCTTCTGGAGTGCACACTGGGTAGATGAAAGGCTGTAGAGAGAGACTGCAGTGGTCAAAAGGTAAACGACGAAAATTTGTCTTTGGAATATCTGGCTTTTTGCCTCCATAAAAGTGAGTGTATTCAGTACAGGTAATATACATCTTGTCCTTTTGGTGCTGTCGCTTCCCCATGGCTGTGACCGACGACAGAAACACTAAACCGGCGAGAAGACCTCCGAGAATCGGCGAAATCGATCCAACCAGGAACGTAGGCACTTCCGGGATCCGAAGTCCCACCCCGGAAGCGATAGCTTAGCATGTCGGGAAGTGTGAGGCCAAGTAATTTGTCCAAGGTCTCACAGCTGCAAAATGGTGCGTATAGGTTATGGACCTAAATCTATCTCCCTCTAAAGCTCCCTGTAGAGTCTGGCTCAAGTTAATACAGTTGAAATTTGCTTATTTTAAGCGCATTGAACTGGTCAAACTGAGTGAAATGTTATTGTAATGTTTGACAACTCCTCAGTTTTCTGAGCTTGGGCAGATATTCACTGGTTCTGTTTGCCTCCATAATTCAATGTTCAGAACCATCTACTTGGTGCACCAGCCCCAACTCCTGCCACTTGACTCATCCACTACTTCTCAAGAAACATTTATTGATGAATAACTGTATGGATGGTGTGATGGAGAAACTCTGAGCTGAACATGAAAACATTTTGGCCATCGTCAATATTGAAGTCTTCAGGGAATGTGGAGAAAAAAAAAAATATATATATATATATGATGAGTTATGCTAGGGGATGGACAGGTGATTTGGAAATACGCAGCAAGGAAATTGAACCCTGACACAGAGCTGGAGGAAGCTTTCTTCAGACTGACAGCTAGCAGATGAGCAAGCTAGCAAAGTGAAAGACAAAGAGAAGAAGGTGGAGGATGTTTAAAAAGGGGAACAAGCATGTGTGAATTCCAGAGGTCTAGACATTGTGTGAAGAGTTTGCATTTGACTAGTTCAAAGAACTGAAGGAAGTTTATTATTTCTGGAGAGAAGGTTGAGATGTTAGTAGGTGGGGGTGGGGGGAGTAGGGGGGCAGCCTCTTGGTGGAGAGAAGCTGTGAAAATCTCATCAAGGTATTTGGATTTTGTCCTAAAACAATGCTAAGTTTCCTAATCCTGTAAAAATGATCCACAGATTAAAAGTGGGGTATAATACAAACAGAATTACTTTGTGGATCTTACTTTGATGGCAGTTTGAGAAATGGATTGTGGTGAAGTGAGTCTGGAGGGAAGGCCCACTCAGAAGTGACTTCTGGGACTGAAGATGTGTTTGATTCATCCTTGCCATTTCAATCCTACACCTCTGCCAAAAACTGGTAAACATAAAAAAAGACTCCAAGTAAATACTGCCTGGGTGAACAGGTGTAGAAATAAAAACACATCGGAACAAATCATTCCACAAATATTTCTTGCCTTTTTGGACTTTCTTCTTCGTCCATGCTTTTTCCTTTCTCCAGGCATGAATACATTTCCCCTTTTCATCTTAATAAATCTTAACTGTGCTTTGAGGTGCATCTTAAGACTAACTGCTTCCTGAAGCCTTCCTTGGCTGTTCCAGTTTCCCAAACTCAAAATTCAAACTCATTGCTGTTGGGGTAGAACCAACACTGTTGGGTCAGACCCAATGCACAAATGACCATCCAGTGGGATTCTGAAGCTGTAATCCATACGGAAGGAGATTGACCACCTTTTTCTCTTTTTCTCTCTAAGCTGCTGGCCGATTAGAACTTCCAGAGGGGAAAAAGTTTTGGATTAGCAGCCCAGTTTCCTACAGACTACACCACTGGAACTCCCTTCTTTTCTCAAGTCTAATAGCACTTGGAGTCCATTTAGAATTTCATTACATTTAGCAATCTATGATGCAATTCTGTGTAGATTAATAGATTAATCAATAACTTCTAAATTTAGTTCAGAATTCTTATTTTGTCTATCAATCTATCACATTTTATCAGTATCTATCTATCTACCTATCTATCTATCTCTCATCTATCAAGGTATAAGGCCAGAATGAATGAGCTTCTTTCACATAAAGTTGTAGGTGTATAAATATCTCTTTCTGGAAAAGAAATAGGAAAAAATATATACCAGTTTCCTTAAAAAACACTCATATCATTTGGCTCATAAATTTTTCTACTAGGAATATATGCTAAGCACATAGACAGGAATAATGATAAAGATTTATGTTCAGATATATTGATTCCTGACTTTTATGATTTTAAGAAATTAGAGGCAATTGAATCACAAAAAAATAGGGAGAAAGTCAAATAAATCATGATATATTCCTATGGTAATATATTATACAAAAATATGATACTTGGAAACAGGTTAATGTGAAATGGCAAAGAAAAAGACAAGGTTTTAAGTCAAGACGAGAGATGTATCCTCTAATACAAATCAGTATTCTTATAAGAGTCTATGCAAAGCTGTATTAGCAGGATTAGGCATTGGGAATACAGAAAGTGTTTTTATGTTTTAAATTTTCAGTCTACACTTGTTATTTCCTTTAATCTTCACAATAATCCTGTGAGGTAGCTATGAATGGGACCCAACTCATTGACAATGAGTGTTTTAAAAAGTTTTTTCATTACTATAAAAATTATGACTAAGTATTGTAAAAGTATTTCCTGACCTTTGCTATGGCAAGCCATCTATGTTGGCAAATAGGGCTACCATTCAGTATTCAGAGAACCTGTCACACAACTTCTATGTAACCAATACCTAACGAGAAGCGAGCTTCTAAGCAACCCTTGGGAAGAGTGAGAGATGACTTTTTAATTCCTCCACCCTTGTCTCTGGGTCACTATAAAGTGTGGTGATTCACACATGTGCAGGAACCAAAGCTCCAGCCCACTCACCGGTCTGAGCATGGGGCTGTTCACTCCTGAGTTACCTGGGATGCATGCTATAAATTAATGTCTTTGCATTGTATTGAGTATTGAATATCCCATGGACTTGCAAAAGAACAAACAAATCTGTCTTAGAGGAAACGTAACCAGGGTCCTCCTGCTTAGAAGCAAGGATGATGAAACTTCGTCTCTCATCCTTTGGGCATGCTGTCAGGAGCAGCTGCTCCTTGGAAAAGATATTGTGCTGGGGAAGATGGAGAATGAGCGAAAGAGAAGACTTTCAACAAGATGGACTGACACTGTAACTGGAGCGATGAGCTTGAAGAGGCAGAGGAGCAGGATAGGGCAAGATTCTGATCTGTTGTTCATAGAGCTTCTATGAGCCATAAATAACATTTAACAATAGCAGCAGCATTCTCTGAGAAGGGAAACACTATGACTTGTGACTATGGCACTGGATGACCCAGAAACTGGAAGTGAGTGTCAGTGAAATTCCAAAGGCCAGACCTGCTCCACGGTCTGTTTTTAACATCCTGGAAGTTGCCTATGCTCTCACGGCAAATAGCATAGGTTAGACATCCATCCTCTCTCCTTCTCTGGAGAATTATATTAGACTTGGTTCTTGTCCTGTTTGACTCCATCAGGGTGTTCCAATAAAGCAACTTAATGAAGGTGTGACCTCCTTTAGTGGGAAACAAATGACAGAAGAGTTATTATCACATCCCAGAATGTCTGGGGTGAAATACCCTGAAGTGCAAAGTATATTATGATTATCTCCTGAGTGAGAGAACACACACACACACACACACACACACACACATCCCAGAACAACAACCCACTAAAGCAAAGCAGCATCAGCTATAGTCAGTCAGTGGGACTTTTGTCAAGAACCAATTCCCTCCTCTTCAGTGGAGCCAATGATCAATTCCTGGTAAGTCTTCCTGTACACTCTATCGATAGCTACTTGCACTTGTGATTTCCTATTTGCAATGCTCTCTAGGCTCTCAGAACATAGTCCAAATGACTCCTCCAAAGAGAACAGGCAATGAGTGCTGAACTCATGCTGTATGATGAACAATGCTTTAAGATATACGCTTGTTATTTTCTTTAATCCTTATGACAATGTTGAAAGGTAGGGACTATTATGACATCTCTTCATTATCCAGATGAAAAGAATTGCGTATTGCTAGCAGTCAAGTGTGTGAATGTTTTACAGTATTCAAGGGCTCCTATAAGAAAGTAAGACATGTGAAATGTTTATTGTGCAAAGTATAAATTACTATTAATTCTTTGTTATTACTACTGAGCAGAGATCTTTCAACCTGATACATCATGGTAGGGAACTTATTTTTTTAAAAGCCAGAAATTCAGAAATGATCCTTGTGAGACATCCATGGACTGAATGTAAGTCACTACATAATTGAAGAAGTTTGACATAGTCTTGGACTCCACAGATAATAGACAATGAGTTGAGGCCACCATCCTTGACTCTACATTTTACTAGATGTTATAAAACTTGTGACATTGGTGTCAAATCACAGAAGTCATACATAGACAGGGAAAGGAGATGAGTCTGGCAGTGAATGAATAAATATCTGTAAATATAGTGCTTCTGTGAATTTTGGTCAACTCAACATTACTTAGTAAGAACATGTTGTTCATTATTTTGAGCTGGAAACCTGACCTATTGAATGGCTAAAATGAAAATCTTACTTTTGTCAAATTGTAAGGATCAGTTAAATGCAATCATAACAGCTCTTTGGCCTGTTAACACATGTGACTGATAATAACTGCAGATGCAGCACTTCCTCCTCTGACCAATAACCACTCGTAGTAAGATCAGAACTCACAGACTAATGGACTCAGACCTCTAGATTGCCAAATCTGCCTAGACCTCAGATGCAAGCCCTATTACATGTGAGGTGGTTTTCCTGGTTTCCTCAACCCCCAGACTGAGTCATCTCATTGATATAAAGTCTCAGGTGTGGTCTGAAGGCCTATAGATAATAAAGGGACTTCAGTTGCTCAGGAAATTTCAAGAGTTTGGTATTCTGTTTTGGGGACTAAGGTGAAAGACTGAATTATTTGACTAAAGTTAACACAAAATCCACATCCATCACAACATGTTTTGCAAAGTCACAAACTGGAAATCGGAACACCTGGTTTCCATTCTCCATCTGGCTAGAATCTCCATCACATTTCATGAGCCAAAATTTTCCAGAATGATGGAATCTGGGATTGGAAAGAGCCCTGAAGGTTTTCTACTCCAATTTTCTGTCTGTGGATGGAATGTGT